AGAGACCTTCCGCATTCAATGGCACATAGCCTACTTCATCTCCCTTATGTTGAATTTTCATATTTTGCATCTCTAACTTCGCTCTGTTTTTAAGACTCTTATGATTACAACAGACCCACCTGAATAATCTTACCATAAGGTCACCTGATTTGGAACCTTAAGTACATATACAAAATTTCTTTGCAACAGTACCTAGATTATTGTTTGAATAACTGGGAGAAGGTGTATACCAGGTGCTAGGAATTTCAGAAGGCCATCTTAAAATTCTGCCCAACACAAAACCATTTATTTGTTGTACGTTTTCAGCAATACTTCACATGTTGGCATTTTTTAGCCATATACATACTAGTTGCACATGTCATGGTAGTTTTAATTTGGATTTCTCTGATGTCTAATGATGTTGAACATCTTTTCACGTTCTTATTTGCTGTGTATATATCTGTTGTTAAATGTCCAGGTCTTTTGTCTCTTCTTTTTTTTTAATATCCATTTGTTTTAGCATCATTTGTTGCAAAGATTGAATGTGGGTATATGGATATGTGACTGACTGTGTGTGGATAATTCTTTAAGTCAGATAGTGTAAGTTCTTCAACATAGTTGATTTTAAAAAATTTTGGCTTCTTAGTCCCTTGCATTTCCATATACAATTTCAAAATTGATTTACTGATGTCTTTAAAATATTTTACTGGAATTTTGATTGGGATTGTGTGGTTTTTTTTTTTTTAAATAGATCAGTATGTGGAGAGCTGTCATCTTAACAGCTAGTCTTCTGATCTATGAACATGATATAGCTCTATGTTTTTTAAGGTAATCTTTAATGTCTGTCAGCTGTGTTCAATAGCCTTTATTGTACAATCATTACATATATTTTATTAACTTTATCACTAAATACTTTGTATTTTTGATGATTTTCTGAATGGAAGTGTTTTCTTAATTTCCTTTTCCTGTGCCAGAATTTCTTGCATCTTGTCTTATTGTACTGGTGCAAATATCTTTATGTATCTTGTTTCTGCTCTTAGATAGAAGGCATTTAGTGTTTACCATATTAAGTATGATGTTAGCTGTAGGCTTTTTGTAGATAGCCTTTATAGATTGAGGAAGATCCTTAGTTTGCTGAGTTCTTTTTTTACCATGAATGGGTGTTGGTATTTGGTAGATGCTCTTATTGTATCTGTTAAAATGACTATTAGTGTTTTTTTTTATTTTGTAGTGAATTCCATTAATTTTGAATATTAAACCAACCTTGCATTGCTGAATAATTCTGAGTTGGTCATGATGTTTTCTTTTAATATGTTTTTCTGGATTTAATTTGCTCAAATATTTTTAAGGATTTTTATATCCATGGTCATGAAGAAATATTGGAATATAGTTTATTGGGTTTTCTATGTTTGTTTGGAGTGTCATCTGATTTTGGTATCAGGGTAATGATGTTCACAAAATGAGTTAAGAATTAGTCCTTTCTCTTTTACCTTCTGAAGGAATTAATGTAGGGTTGGTATGTTTTGGAAATTCAAATATATGATAGAATTGACCAGTGAAGCCATATGGGTGTAGTTTTTTTGAGGGAAGGTTTTTTAACTCAAATTCAGTTTAACAGCTATAGAGGTGTACAGTTTTTCTCTTTTTCCTTGACTTAGTTTCAAGAAACTCATCTATTTTAAGTTACAAAATTGATTTTTATATATTTAGACTATATTTAGAATATATTTTATATATATTAGGAAAACTGATATAAGTTTTTTTTTACTAATTTATCTTTCTGTTTGTTTACTTTCTATTTCATTAATTTATTTTTTCCCCTCTCTCTCCCCTTGTTTTGGGTTTAATTCATTAATTTTTACTATTATTTTAGTTTTTTAATGTGGGAACAGATCATTGTATTTTAGAATTTCTTTGTAAAATAGTATTTTCTTCAAAACACTGCTTATCCTATATTTAAAATATTTTCTGATTTCTCATAATTAATTGCCTTTGTGACTTATAGCTTATTAGAATTTTGTTTTATTTCCAAATACTTCCATAATTCCAAATATCTTTCTACTTTAATTCCATTGTAATGAGAGAATATATTCTGTATACAGTGGGGCCTTGACTTACGAGTTTAATTCGTTCTGAGACCGAGCGTGTTAAGGAGCTCGTAAAGGAGCTCGTTAACTCAAATTACTCTATCAACTCAATGCAAAAAATCAGCCGAGAGACAGCTGGTATCTCAAAAACTCGTTAGTCGGGACACTCGGTAAGTCAAGGCCCCACTGTATTTTAAACCTTTTAAGTTTATTGAGAGTTTTTTCAGGCTCAGAATAATGTCGTCTTTGCCAGTGTTCCATGTGAACCGGAAAATAATATTCTGCTGTTTTAGGACCTGTTGATTGATAGTGTGCTCAGATCTTCTGTACCTTTACTGACTTTTTTTGGGGGGGGGGGGGGGGGTAGTGTCTACTTTTATCTGTCAGTTACTGTGAGAGAAATGTAAAAATCTAATATGATTGTCTATTTTCCTTTCAGTTCTGTTTGCTTTTATTTATTTGAAGCCTTATTAAGCATATATATAAAAGGCTCTTGGGACCCAATTACTGTGTGTGTGTGTGTGTGTGTGTGGTTTTTTTCTCGAATATCACACAATTATGAGACATTAATTGGGTGCCCTACAGTTTAACTCAATTCTGACACTCTACCTGGAAATCGCACCAAATTCCACAAGTTAAGAGGTCAGTCCTACAATACTACCCCCTTTTCGCCTCTTCAGATGCCAATTGCAAGTCCAGGTTGTTACCTGGGGTTCTAGATGTTCAACTGGCTATGGATTGGAGGTTTCAAGGACCTCTTCTTTGGGTTTAATTAATTTATTAGAGCAACTCACACAACTCAGAGAAACATTTTACTTACTAAATCACTGGTTTATTTTAAAGGAGCTAACTCAGGAACAACTAAATGGAAGAGACACATAGAGCAAGGTACAAGGGAAGGGGTGAGGAACTTCCATGTTCTCTCTAGGTGTTCCACTCCCCCTACATCTCCATGTGTTCACTAACTTGGAAGCTCTCAGAACGCTGCCCTTTTGGGTTTTCATGGAGGCTTTATTACATAGGTGTGACTGATTGGATCATTGGCCATTGTGATTGATTCAAAATCCAGCCCTCATGCTCTACTTTTAAATAATGTTTTTCTCATAGTGTAAGATATTGACATATATATCACATTTGTGCTGCCATTGTCAAAGAATTTACTTCTACACATTATATACCACATAATGCATTGTTAACATAAACACTATGTTTGTGTTAAATAGCTATGTTTTAAAAACCTTTAAAAATGAGGAAAATGTCTTTTATATTTACCTGGATAAAGCATTTTACCTTAATATTTGAAAGATATTTTTGCTTGGTATAAAATTAGACAGGTTGAGGTTGAAATAACCTTTTGGATATATGGATTTGAAGCCTAGGAGAGAGATGAAGCATTCAGTGATGGTAGAGAAGTTCTGAGGAGTCCTGCTATTCCCTGGTCAGGCTATTCCTTGGCTCTTAGTGGATGCTGGCTAGCAGGGAGTGATATAAGATAGATGATACAATTTATAAAGAATTGATAACACTGTAAAAGTCAGGGGGCTAGAGAAATAAGGACCTGGTTTCGAAGTCTTCCCTGAAATTCATATAAGCATTTTGTCATCACATATAAAACAATTATAGCATTAATTATTTTTTTAAAACTCCCAATGGTAATCCAAAGTATTATATTCTTCTTGGAGCCTTGAAAGAAACATAATTTTAGGTTGTGTGTAATAAGATTTTTTTAAAGGTGTATTTAAATATTTTAAGCACGGAAGAGTATGGTAAGAATTTCTTCCATCTTTAGTATATATTTTATATTTAAAGTGACCTAAAATTAAATTAATAGGTTCTGGAAAATTACAGTTACCCACTATAATTTTCAGTTATTGGCAAAATGATACAAATTGAAGATACTGATTTGCTGATATACTCTCATAGACCTTAAATTATGTAGAATAAGAGATACTTTTCAGAGTGTACAAGCTAGCCAGACAGATTAAATTGTTTTTTCAGGAAGTATTCAATAACTTAGGGTATATAAGTATATACAGGGGTGGGCACAAGTAGGTTAATAATAATAAGTACAATAATTACTAAATAAATAATAAAAGAATAAACTCATAACTGTAAACCTACTTGTGCCCACCCCTGTATTTAAATGTTGATTCTATTGTACACTTAATGTCAGTATTAGATTGATGGAATATAGGATGCATGGTACACAATTTTATCTCTGAACTTTAAAAACTCAATTTACATTACTTTAAATTCTGTGGTCTTTTTAAAAAAGATCTTAATGGCTTTAGTTTTGTTTTGTTTTTCCTCACCAAAGGATATGTTTTTGTAATGATTTTAGAGATATGGGAAGAGAGAGGGATATATATAGAGAGGATATATATAGATAGATTGCTTCCCATAAGCACCCTGGTCTGGGATCAAACCTGTAACCTGGATAATGTGTCCTGACTCAGAATTGAATCAGCAACCTTTTGGTGTGCGGGGTGACGCTCCAATCAACAGCCACACTAACCAGGGTGATCTTAATGGTTTTTGCTTCATGTGAATATATGATAGTTGGAATTTTGACCATTTCAGATTTAGAACTACTATTGGTTCCATTACTAATCAAATGGTTTAGTTATCAAGATATTTTTCAATGTAAGCATTGGCTCAGGTCTGTAGTTTTTCTAGAGCATTTTTTTTCCTAAATAAATTTCACATAGAATCCTAGTATAAAAAACAGATACTAGTGGTTTTATATTTCTTTATAAGTTAGGGATTCAGATAAATTGTATTAACTTAGACCCTAACCATGAGATAAGATGTCCCATATTAAGAAAAATTGGAATTGGCTGTCTGACATTGGATCCACTTCCCTCCTAATATAGAAAATTATATTTCAATGTAAATACAAACTTTTTAAAGAAATTTACTAATGTTGTGTAACTAATAACTTTTTTTTTTTCCTTCAGGGAAATGAGGCAAGTTATCCTTTGGAAATGTGCTCACACTGTAAGTCAAATATTCTTGTTAATTTGTTTTATACTTACATTTCTCTTTATATTTATATATCACATACTTCTATATGTTTGTGTAGCAATGTTAGCACATGATTATTTAAAATGGGTAGTGAATTTGACTTATAGTCTTAATCAGAATAGATAATTTTTTTTAACAGACTTTTTAACTTACTTATTTTGTGTTTACATAAAATAAAATACTTGCTGAAGGCAAAACTTTGGTAGTCCAAGTAGCTATTGCAAAAAATCTTTTTGGGGGAGAATGAGGAATTTAAGCAGTGTGGGTGGGCTTGTTATTTCTGACTGTATGGGAGAATGTAAAAGCAGAACATGACACTGTTAGATGTCGATTCAAGGATCAGTCAAAAAAACCAAAAGGTTTTTTTGTGTGGAAGGCCATTGATAGGGGAAAGGGAGATCCTGAGAATTGGAATGGAGACATTTGGTAAATTTAGATGTCATGAGGAGGTCACAGAACGCCGAATCATTCTAAACCTTCCTTGCCCTTTTCATCCCTGTTTGATGGAGCTGCTCCTGCCTTGTTTGGAGACCTCTTACCTTGCAATGAGGTACCTCTTCCTTTTTTTTTTTTCTTTCATTAAAACCATTTTTCTTGTTGCTCATTATGTTTCATTAGTTTGCTTTCTTTTCCCCAAACACTTGTCAATTTCTTTCATTCTCATCAACACCTTTGCTTGCTTCTGAGCTCTGGGTAGAATGCTCTTGTGTCAAGTTTTTGTTTTGTTTTAACAATTGATAATTTATTAAAAAGGTTGATTTAAGTATCTGCAATGGTGTCTTAAGCCTTGACTCCTGTATCAATATTATTGGAAATAATATATTTAACAAGCTCTAACAATCTCAGAAGGGCTATACAAGTTAATGAGTCGCATGTGGATCCTCATCTGAAATGGATCCCAAGTCTTAGAACATTTCCCTCAGGGAGTTTTTCTTGTAGTGATCCTTAGAGTCTTGGTGGACATCCAAACTGGTCTTTTCACTTTTCCTTTGCTCCTCTGATCAAGTCAGCACACACCTTCTCCAAAGACTACATTGCAGCTAGTTAGAGTAATTCTAATTCAGTGAATCGCCACCTCTGGTTCCATGGATATCTTTCCTGTATCTTTAAAAGCCATGGCTGTGGCATGGTTTCCTGATGGATTTATTTCTCCATAAGAGCAAACAGTGGTGAGTCAGGAGCAGAAGCCAGTGGAACAGAGCTCTGCTGCAGCTTCAACCTTGTCTTCTTCAAAGAGTTGTATCAAGTTCCTTACTTACTTGACTTCATTGTCTTTTAACTCTTAGATAAATGTTATCTTTCCTCTCCTAAGAATCTATCATGGGTAGTAAGTACCCTGTTTATTTCCTTGTAGCAAAGAAATTACTTGTTTTTATTCATCCATTTTTATCTTCCATTTTGTAAGTTATATAATTTATTTTTAAATGAGTGATACTCTATGACCAATTACCCAGAATTCTGCCATTTGAACTACATACATTTTATTGTTTTTCTTCTCAGGCTTTCCTTTATAAATTTCTTACATAATTATGTTCACTTTCAAATGTATATTTTTATTTTAATACTAGAGGCCCAGTGCATGAATTCATGCACCCGTGGGGTCCCTTCAGCCTGGCCTGCACCCTCTTGCAATCCAGTACCCCTCGGGGAATGTCGGAGAGCTGGTTTCACCCTGATCCCTGCAGGTTTCTGTGCACCAGGCCTCTAGTATGCATATAAGATCTTTGGTTAATCTCTTCCCACCCTCTCCTGTCCCCTCCCCTCTTCCCTCTGAGATTCATCAGTCTGTTCCATGTTTCCTTCCATGCCTGTGGTTTCCACTCCTGCATTGAGCGTCTGTCCCCTGGTGGTCAGTGCGCATCATAGCTACCAACCGGTCGCTTAGGCTTTTATATATATAGATAAAGATAAAATGTTGCACCTAGCATATTGTAAAAATTGACCTAAACGAAACCTGATTGTGACTATACTACTGCCTATCGGCAGTTTTGTTAATAAAGTTTTATTGGAACACAGTCAAGCCCATTTGTTTATATATGGCTGTTTTTATGCTACAGTGGTAGAGTTGAGTAGTTGCAATGGAAACTATATGGTCCATAAAGCCTAAAATATTTACTATCTGGCCTCTTACAGAACAAGTTTGTTGGAACCCTATTATAGATAATAATGGTCTTCTGAATTTGAGAACTGTCACCTCTATCACTGCCTAACCTATCTGAACTATGGTCAAACTAGAGTTTTTACAAGCTAATGCTTTAGGTGTTAGCTAGATCTAGAATTCTTATTTCTGGCAAAGTTAATATGTCGGTATTATAGTTTCTTTAGAGTCAAAAGGGTGTGCTCAAAATTGTACCTTGCTACTTGAGTGTGTGACAGTTATTCTTGCTAATGGGCAAGAAGGAGGTTTGGAAGTCTAATTAACTAGGCTTCATACTGCAAATGGAGTTTAGATTGAGTTTTGGAAGTATTGTACAACTCTGATTGGAATGAGGTACTAGGAAATTAGTTTTTGTTTCTTGGTCAAGGAACAGAGGTCCTAAGTATTTCCCAGGTTCTTCTCTTCGCTTCTTTTACCTGGTTGCAAAGAAAAATATATTAGGGCAAAAGGCAAAAGATGGATGGCCTTCTGCACATCCAGATGGCAAAAGCCAAGTTGTTTTTTTTTTAATGTGTGGTATTTGAAATAAATGTCATACACTGTTAAAGCTCTTTTGGTTTTATCCTTAGAACTTAGTCTTCTTTCTTAAGACTTCATCTATGCTTAGTGAAACTGTTGAACCTTGTCAGGAAAGGTTTATACTTGTCAGTGAATATTCAACCAGCAATAAATCTATATGACTTATTCTGTTAGCCAGTATATAGTTTTTTCCCCCCTCTGTTCCCTACTTGGTTCATCAGAATACAGTGTACTTTTGTATATTTTATACATGATTTGGATTAATTTCTCCAAAATGAACTTGTCCACATTAAAACCAACACTTTTTCCTGCCATCCATACATTGTAAATTTTTTTTTCTTATTTACAAACCTCTTCATTATTGGAAGAGCTTAATGTTATCTATATATAAGATAAGAATGTTAAAACCAGTCTTTGAGGCACTTCAATATTTATACTTCCCTGTTTGGGTTAAACCCTGTCATGCCTTCTCATTCCTTTAAGACCCAGTTTGATTCTTTGTTCTCAGTGAGGCCTTATAATTGTCCCAGTTTTCATTGGTCCTTCCTGTTCTTCAAGTAGTTATTGTCTGTTTTGTTCTTTTAGTATTTAATTGTGCTACTTTTTAAAAGGTAAGGTACTGTCTTCGGCCCATGACACAGATAAACACCCACAAGGTGCTTATGGTCTAGCTACTGGGAAAAAGAGGAACGCATATATTATTATAGTGGAACTAAATCTTTATGAAAAACAAAAACAGGGGTCCCAGGGAGTGGAAATTATCCTTGGTTAAGGAAATTAAGAAAAGCTTCACAGAAGGACTGACTTTTGAAATTGTTTTTGAAAGCTGTATTAGTTTTCAATACTGATTAATTCTTTCACTTGTCTGGTCATTTGTCCCTTTCATTCTCCTTAAATTGCATCTAGATTTTCATCATTCTATCCAGACACCCTGCATAGTCATTCCCAATATCCTACTTTTACTCAATGATTTCTCTCCTAATTCTTAAGAAAATTGAGAACATTTTAAGTGTTAACCTCATATCTCCTATCTCCAACTCCCCCTACTTTCCACTCCTCCCCACTGCACACAGAAACTTTCCCAATCGCATGCTCATACCCCCTTATTCTAGGTCAGCCTCCTTGCTTGTGCTTTGGATCTCATCCACTCTCATCTACAGGACTGTGTTTTGTTAGGTTCTCCCTGTTTTTCAGCTGCTCCATCTCTCTTCAATTTATAGACAGGATTAACTTCCTTGATCCTGACCCTTCATGCACCTCCCAGTTTTTCTCCATTTTTTCTCATATTTGAGCTTCCTAGAAGAGCATATTCAGTTATCTCCATTTCAGTATTTCTGCTAATTTCATGGCCTGTAAACTGACTTTTATTCCCTACTATCTACTGAAACTTTAAGGTCACCTTCATTTTATTGCATAATTGCTAAATCTGATGGATTAAAAACCATGTACATAAAGCAGATGCTGAGTAAGTATCTCTTGACTGAATAAGCTAGTAAGAGCTCACAGCTGAACTAGCTGTGTTGGATAGACAACTAGTTGGGTAATTTTAAAGGCTGTACCTTTAGGAAAATTCCGTAGTTACCAATCATCACACTTATTATTTGTTTCATGAATAATAAAACAAATGTGCCAGGCACTATTCTAAGCATTTCACATACATCAATGTTTTTAATCTTCATGATAGTCTCATGAGAGAGGTATTATTACTTAGTCCTTTGTACAGAAGAGAAAACAGGCAGAAAGATCTCAATCACACAGCCGCAGGTAAAGGAACAAAGCCATGATTTGATCTCAGGCAGTCATGCTCCAGAGTCATATGCTTAATCCCAATCCTATACAGCCTCCCTTATACTAAATGTTATAAGATTATGTTGTGTTTGTCTACACATGAATTACTTTAGGCAAACTGGACTTGTCTAAGACATAGAGGTATTCTCTGAACCCCCCACTTCTCAGTTCAGTGTTCACTTTTCATTGAGTTAAATTATTCTAGGCCATTGTGACTTTGTTTCTGTCTGTTAGCTAACCTGTCTGGACTATAGTGGAAATGTATACTCTGTTGGGGTAATTTGCTCAAAGTTGAGACCTTACTTGTAACTTGGCATGATGACTTGGAAAAGTGACTGTGTAAGATACTACTTTAGATAGTTTAAACAGAGAACTAGATTGGGGCACAGTTGAAAGTGTAAATTGAAAATCAGATTCAACTATTTATTACTGTTGATAAAACCAGTGTAATTCTGAATGGTTTTGATAAAATGAAGTACAGGGCCTATTTTGTAGACTAAATGTAGAT